GTGAAGTATAGCTGAGGCCTTCTAGTCAAATGTTGCTCGCTGTTTCTTCCTTCCACATCCTTCCCAATTCATCTTTTATATTAAGTCAGTGCTACTTCCACTGACGCTAGTAACTGCCATAAGATAAGTCACTTGTACCTTGTAGTTACTGTCTGAGAAATAATTGGTACTGAAAATTTCACAAACATTAATTCCTTTTGTGATAATATGAAGAAGTTTGACGTACTTTTATTACTTTGACAGCTCAGAATTAAAAATGTAGTTCCCTGCAGTGCAAGTTCTATACTACTGTATTTTAAGTCTTTCCTAATAAAAGTACTCCCATGTAATTTACTTTGATTCTTTATACAGTTATATTTATCAGTAGATAGTTGTAATTATTTTGTTGGTTATGTGCAGTCAAGCAAATTAATTTGGTCTGATTTTTGCTACTGACATTTGTTTCATTTATCTGTGTTAAAGAGATCTTCTGTTTTATTGCATAGCCCTCTAATATTTTCAAATGCACATTATAACATTATTTATTTTATTGTTGGTAGGGAATTCTGAATTTTTATTTGTGTTGAAATTAGAAATTGTTCTTTTATTTCCCTTTCATGAACAGTCTGTCATAATCTAAAATACATTTGCCACTAATGCCTGTAACTACTGGAATAGCCGTTGTGACATCTCACAAATACGAAGGATGAGATATTGGCCGTTCATAGCATTTATCAAGTTTTTATCTCATTCTGTATCTTACTCTGATCAGAATGTACAATTACTTATTGAAATTTAAAGAAGTATTTATAGCAGTAACCAGCCAACCAGCTCATTCTGTGAGGCAGGATTTTCCTCAGGCATTTGATCATTCAGGTGATAAAATTGCTTTCTGTATCAGATGTTGAAGGAGATGAGTTGATCCCAGGGGTGTTCAACTTATGTGGAAGCTTCCAGATGGCAATCACACGCCACTTGTGTCAGCGTCTGCAGCGTGCCATGGAGTTTGTTGGCCTTCAGAAGCTTCTACCTCAGGATAATAAGACCTTGGTTTGTAAACAGTCACAAAACTGACTGATTTTCACAGAATAGGTTATAATGCCATTAAATAGATCAGTTTTCTCACCATCTGCTACATTGATGCTGGATCATAAATTACCTTTACTATAATTACATTGTATAAAATAACCACAGTGGAAAAACTCCTGTTTTCCAATTAACAAAATTTTTAGTTTCTTTTTAGCAAAACTTAATTACTCGATTTGCCTTCACACATAATTTTTAACTGAATGCCCAATGCGATGAATTATGATTTTTAATACTGTGTAAAACTGTACTTCTCATTTCTGCATCACTAGCATTACCAACATGTTCTCTTTCAACAAAATTAGATTTTACTCCGTATAATTATTATCTTAAAACAATTCAGTTTGTTTGTAACAGTGGATGACTGGAGTTTTGATGACGTACAGGTGGTATCTGGAGGCGTGGCTTGTAACAAGTTTATAAAGCGTGCCATCAAGCTAGTCTGCCATGAAATGGGCTACACACTGGCTGTCCCTCCACCACACCTTTGCACTGACAATGGAATCATGATTGCATGGAATGGTATAGAGAGGTGGCAGGCACACGCTGGTGTTACTTATGATCTGGATTCTGTGGACATTGCTTCAAGGTGAGTTTCAACAACGAAATTCATGTACTATAATTGAGGTTAACCCTTCTCTGGCTTATGTGTTCAAAAGCTCTCAGTTTCAACAACAAAATTCATGTACTCTAATTGAGGTTAACCATTCTCTGGCTTATGTGTTCAAAAGCTCTCCTTTGTGAATTGTTGTTCTTTGCCGTAATACTTGAAGGTGTTTGTGTTCGCTTCCTGTGTCTCTGTGACATCAGTTGGAGAGTTAACTGTGTTGTTGGTACTTTTATAATGGTATGATATATGTGAACTGTCTTCCATTCAATTTTGACAGGTTTAAAATTCTTTTCTTTTCTTTTTTGTGAAATACCAGCCCAGAACAGTCTAGTCACATGCTCATGTGAATTCAGTAACCAATTATAATGTTCTCACGAAGGACTTTGCATCATGCAGTTAGTGTTAACAGTTGTGAACGACGCTGTATAAGTGTGACTTCATTACACACACTTTTGCCATCTGTGTTTCTGTATATACAAAGTTTTGTTTAAGTATCGTGAGCACATTAATATCTTATCCATGGACAAATTTTATAGCCTATATTACGTGCATCAAATCTTTTCCAGGCTTATCATCAGATATGATGCCCATGATGAGCTTGGTGAATTCGGGTGCCAGTTCAGCGTCAAAATGGCGATTGATATACATTTCCTGTTTTGCATATTTTTTTATATACGCTGTGAATTACAGGAACACAACCCCCATGTAAAACGAGAATCACTTTGATATATGTGTGCGTTTGTGAGTGTGTGTCATCACTGATGTACTTGTCGTTCAGGTGCCCTCTGGGGGAAGACTGGTCAGAACAAGTTGTCAAGGCCAACATCAAGTGCAAGTGGATAAAACTGACTTCATTACTCAAGGATCAAGCCACGAGTGAGGTTTAGATGCGCATGTTCACTGTTATAGGAAGGTTCTGGATCATTTACTGTAATAGTTTTATGCCACTGAAAAGTAAATTGACATTGTATAATTGTTATCCTCAATAAAATATAATGTTCCATGTACAAACAATAAATATGTATATAAATGACCATGCAAAATGGTTCCTTGTACGTTATCGTCATTAGAGAAGTACTGTCAGTGTGCCGCTAGAAGTCTGCTTGGATCAGGGTGGCAATGAACAGCTACACTGTACTAAAATCTAAAAGTTCTTGATGATGGTGATGAGTCATTAGAATAATAATTTTCTTGGATATTATCCATCATCTAGTACTGTACTCTCTCACAAAACGTGCAACACCATTCACATACAAAATACACTGCGCTACTGGAGTAGTGACTGGAATAGGGATAGCTGGAGTGCACATGTGCAGTAAAATCTCCCACTCATACTTTTAGGCAGACTTCTCATGGTGCGCATACAGTATATACCTCTCATTTTGCTTTCTATAAAAGACCTGCATAGTTTTCAGATCTCCATATTTATTTATTCTACACTGAGTGGCATTAGCGTTGCATATTGGCCTCCATATTATTTTTGTTACAGTGGAATGTCATTCATACCAAGCTTCATTGAAATCAGTCGCTCGATTAACAAGTTTTATCACAGGAAGGGACAGATTTACTGATGCCACAAGCCTCATTCTGTTTATATACTTATTTTATGGTAGTTTCTCAACTGCACAATTAATCTGGAAGGCTTCTTCACTAACTGTGTTGAACGTACAGCCTGTTTGCTATATGTTAACCATTGCATGCTGTATCGTAAATTATTCCAAATAAAAGTCATAGCTGCTAATGAGTTCTATACTTCATATCCTGACGCACACCAAATATTTTACAAGGAGCTGATGTTATGAAAATCAGTCGAGCTTCAAGTAAAGTGGGAGTTGTGCAGGAAATGTTAGAGCCAGAATTACATTTGCCCAACAGCTTGTAGTGTTGACCCTCCAATACCAAAATCACTGAAAATAGTAATTCAGGTTAAATGTGGGAAATGCGTGATAAAATTCTATCCCTAAGAAGGATGAAGTGGAAATGGTTTATCAGTCATTGCAAAGAATTCACAAATGCAAAAAGTATTTGCAAGTAGAAAAGAAAGGTACTATTTATTTTGAACAGTGATTCGTACATGCCTGAAATACAAAACTGAAAGAGAGGCTCTTATTGAACAAGCATTTGTATTTACACATACTTTTCATAATTTTTTACAATAAAAGTAAATGACAACTATTATACTGACCGTACAATTCGCTCGGAAAGGTGTCTCTTCGTGTACTGTGTTTTTAAAAAGGTTTCTGGGCGAGTCTGAACACACTGGCCAAATGTGACATTAACTCATATTTACACCCTTAAATTTGTAGTTCTACGACTTCTGACAGACTCTCAGAGCTAGTTTATAACTGAATCTACTAAATCGTGTGACTCATTTATCATTTTGACATTCCTGTTACCACTTGTACATAATTTTAGTGAGGGATTGTGTATTTATGTGTTATATGAAATAATATATATCGTACATCAAAATATTAGTGTAAATTAAAACAATTTGTTCTCGAGTATGGTATTTAGAGAATGTAGGAAATATAAAAAATGTGTCTTCAATGAAAGAAATGTTTTAAATTCATTAACTTAAATTTATATACATAGTAAAGTTAGATTCACCTTTCAAGCCTTCAGATTATGGAATTAAAGTTTATATGATATAAATGTACAAGCTTTTAGGAAAGAAATGCATTAAAAATGTGAAACTTCCCAAACTTGTGAGTATCTGTGGAATCACTTTATAGTACGATGGTCCAGTCAAATAAGCCAATTTAGCATGCATCAACGTGACATAAATTGCCATTAAACTTCTTACAAAATCCAAGGCTTAATTATGCTTGCTAGACTCGATACAAATTAATTGAACAAAAGTAATCAACATAACATACTACATAATTAACCTGTCACTGAATTAAAAATTGTTTGATAAATATTAAAAATATGTTTAACGCAGTTTCTGAAGTTTGCTAGTTTGCTACATCAAACTAACACGCGAGAAAAAGAGAATAAAGTTCATCACATTTCAAAAATATACCCAGTATTCAACCAAATAAATGCATTGGAGTCTGATACATAGTGATTCTTTCATCAGCATTATTATTTAAACTGGAAATATTTTGATTTCTTATATAGTACTTGTTAAGAAATCATGTCTTTTATTATTCTATATACTAGGTTTATAATGAACGTACAGTAGAGAAAGACATCGTAAACTGAACACATAACACAGCACTTTTATGTTATAAAATGCTTCAGATATGAACATGTACAAGGATTAAAGATTTAGTATCAGTTTATACCATTTGTGGAAAATATCTACAGATAATACTTTGTTCACTTTCTCTTGTTATTTTATTGTGATAATAAATACATATCTGAGAATTTATTACATGTTCATATTCACATATGCAAAATGAGTGATGCCCATATTAAAGTTTATGATTGCTAACAAAGGCTTCGTAGTTTTATTACTCAAATCATGAAAGCAATGTTCAGGTATATATGTTGGTTGGTATAATTTTATATGTACAGTACTGCAGTTAATAAAAGTCATGCTTCTGTTATTAATCTATTATGCAAGCACACATTTAAAAAAAAGTTCAAATGTAAGTAAAACTGCTAACCTAACCTTAAACTGAGAGAAAAATTGTGAACAAGGTATTCTCACAAAACTACTAATCTTTGCCATACAGAACAGTATGTGTTGGGTTTTTGTAATAAATATTACTTCATTTGCCGTAAAGTTGACTGCTGCCAGTTCTGTGCTAGAAAATGAGAAGTATAATGTACATGTATAATTCCATTTCTATATAGATGTAAAAGGCGGTTTTATTATTAAAGGCAAAGAAGGAATAATGTTACTGAAATAAGGTGTGCATTTAAAATAAACTCTTCCCATGTTTTCAGATCTATTCAAATTTGTAATTGAAAAGTAGCTTACAGACATGCTATCCCTGGTCTGATTAAGTTGACTTTTAAATATAAACCTTACAGAGTTTTGCCCAACAGGCCAGAAAAGAGCATATTTTTGGTGTAAATACACCAATAAACAGATTTAGTGTCTTTCATTAGAAACTTAACTGATAACTTGAGAAAACTTCATTTTTAAACTTGAAGTCTTTGTTTGTTTCTTTTTTGGACAGTCACTTAATTTCTGAGTAATTGTAAAAGTTTTACTCTGATGTGTGACGGTTGAGAACTTTGAAACATAGTTACACAGAAATTCCATAGATAGAATAAATTGTACTGTTGATTTCACAAGATATCTCACCCAAACCACACAGAGATGAACATACCGTACTATAAACAAAGGATTAAATATCTGACACGCATGTAACATTTTTCAGTTCTTGTGTTGTGAAATGTAATTTGAAATGTCCTCTTTATGCAGGCACTTTTATTTTACTTCACTGTGCCAGTTCTTGAGGACAAACAGATTCATTGCGTTTAAAATTGAATAGAAAAACCTTTCTTCTTCCTTTGGTTTCCACACTTTTAAATTTTTATTAATCATTCTGTCTTGGAATTTAATCAACTGTCCCACTTAACCATGAGAAATTCTACTGTTTCACTCTTTACATATTATTAACTGTTTAGAGACATCTCTCATGATTCTATATTTTATTTTGTGGGTCAATTTAATGACAGTGAAAGATAATTGAAAAATTTATGGTGACAGTATTTAGTGTTATTAAGAATCTTTGTGCTCTGTGCCTTGGTGAACAGTGTGGTTTGAACGTCAGTGAGGATGCCAGTTCTCATATTTATTTTTTTAGCTGTGGATTAATTGCCCAGTTTGGAAACTTTCATTCTAGCATGCATCTTTTAATTTTATTTCTGTCTATTAAATGAAGTGACATTACCAAATATCACATCAACTGTGCAAGTTCCCAAGCCGTTAATAATGCGAGTCATTCCCACAGGCAGGTCTGCATGTAACATTGATGAATACAGTAAACCTGGACAATGAAGGGCAGTACACTGTGAAGCGGTCAAGAACTGACGTGAATATGTATCGAACATTTCAGGAAAGTGACATTGAGATCATAATTATGGGAAGTAATTGACTGCAATTGACCTTCACACATTAATAAATGTCGCAAAGTGTGAACATACTTGTTGTTATAAATAGAAATGCAGCATTATTGGTGTTCACTCTATCACATCTCACTTATTCCATTCACAGCCATAAGTTGAATTAAACTTTATTTTAATCATCTGTTTTGTTCCCAGAAATAACAGAATTGAGGTAAGGTAATGAACCAGAAGATGATAATATGGAGGCAAAGTGTTATCACAATAATGTGACAACTGTTGTTATACCACACTAATAATAAGTATGAAGGTTTTTTTACGAACGCGTGTCATTAATGTGATCAAAATTCTTGGACATTTTTCTGCGTCCATTAATTTAAAGACACGCGCTGTTTCATAAACTGCCTCTGCTTCTGTCAGCACTACAAGACAATATACAATCTAATCATTTGGGTCCACTTTGAAAAATTAATCTAATTATGTTTAGGGCTGCCTCAGATTTTTATCTCCATTTAAGTTGAGTTATTTTAAATTTCCTATCTTGAATACTGTTCTGTTTGGCCTCACTTTCATGCATTACATGTAATTATTAAGCGTAGTACAGTTACGTGGTGTGTGCAAACACACACAGCTCACAGACAATCAGTATAGGTAAAAAAGTACAGTGTAGTATTTACAGTGCTCATTATTTACAAATTACATGAAACAATTGTCATGGATAACATTTATTGTGAGAAAAATATAGCCTACATATTTGCCATTATTTTGCTAATTTTTTCTAGCATAATACTGTAATACTTGATAATATTCAAGTCGCATTAACTAGTCTTTTGTATATTATATCACTGTACAAGTGACCTTTACATCAAATGTGAAACATTTCATATCACTGAAAATTCACTCCAAATAATGATAATGACCAAATTGCTGAAAACTGCAACATTTCACAAATATATCTCTAATTGTACCTCCCGCTGCTAACTGAACCCATAAAATCTACTCTGTTATTGCGCAGATATCTAACAGACCCTATGTTGTTAATGTTGTATTTAGGCAATGTGAGTTTGTAATCTAGCAATGAAATACACTGCAGCTCAAGACTTCTGTGCATGTGATCATATGATTAAATCCCACTTGAGTCACATTTTTATTATTATTTCTTGCAATTATGAAAATTTTACTGAATGTCTTTGTTGTTTTTATTAGTAAAAAGAAAATAAAGCTGTCCCACTACATGCCATGCAGGCACTTAGAGGAGAGGCTGTATAGCTCCTACTCATTCTTGACCTCAGTGCTAGAGGGGGGTGAGTGTTCAGCATCACTCCTCATCTGCACTTTACCCCAGTACCCACTCGATAGGAGGCTGTGTGGGCCCCAGAACTGGTCTGGACACAGAGGCTAGAGGAAAAATCCCCTGTCCCGATTGGGGATCGAAACCCGGTCGTAAAGAGGGTATTTAATTCTATGTACCCGAGACAAACCTTGCCCCTGAGGTACATAGTGCAGCAGCTATTTCCAAAATACATTTTATTGTGTTCATAATTGTTGGGTTACAAAAAATATTCATATGTAATATGCTGGTATGTTTATAATTTATCTCCATATCAAATTTCATATCCTGAGCTACAGTGTCATTGTCAAACTGAAAGCTAAAAAAATATTTCACATGGCTAAGATCGCTTCTGGGGGAGGGTGAAAACTCAACAGAAGTTCCGTATTTTTAAATACCTATTATCACCCTATATGAAGTGGTAATGTCACTCATACCTTCCAAGGTTTTTCATCTGCCATGTCATTATTACCGATTGTAGGAAATTAAGAAGTACGAAGTATTGATGGCCTCCAGTGGCATAACGCTCACACCAAATTTAATCAAAATAAGTCGCCTTTTTCAAAATCTAAAATTGAGGATACACATAAACACACATTTACGAAGGAAAGTAGGCTAAAAATTGGACAAGTCTGAAAGATATTTCAGACAGCATCACTGATCAGTGTTTGCAAAGTATATCTGACTGGTGTCCATAGTATCCTACAATTCTGTTACTAATATAATCCATTAGAGATAAAATTATATCTAAATACTGTATGATAAGATAAAAGTAAACTTTTAAACAAGAAAAATATTTTATAATTAAACACATTTACTCTCTACGCGTCTTATATAACAACAAATATGTATTCTATAATTAATATCATATAAGTACAATATTTGATTAAACTCGTATTGAAAGTATAAATAAGAAAATACTGTACAATCATTGTTATAAGTTATAATTATGGTAATACATACTAATTATAAAATCCCCTCTTCATAATTTTGTGCAACATTGTCATTCAGGTCTTAGATACTGTTCATCAATTAATAGTTCAGACTTGTTAGGCAAGCCATTTCCTGCACAGCTGTAGACAGTAAGCGAAGAGAGGTACGACCAGAGCGTAGTGACAGTTCAGAAAGAGCATGCAGTCTGCCCAAAGCATCTCAGCAATGTAATTTCAAATTACTGTATATTTATTTCTTATTTTCAATTTTCAAGTTTTTTTTTTTAAGTATCAATTATGCATAAATCAAAAGAATTTTCAATTTTTCTTAGATGTGAGTAATTCAAGTTACTTTCACTGATGTGTAAAGTTTTATCAAAAAAATAAATTAAGGCTTCCTGGCAATAATAAACCAACTGAAATTTATTTTCAATATTTTAAGAATAATCTTAAGATAAATTACATATAGCACATAAAAATATGAAAAAATGCTCATATATGTTTTTTGGCAATGATAAACCAACTGAAATTTATTTTAAATATTTTAAGAATAATCTTAGGATAAATTACATATAGCACATAAGAATATGAAAAAATGCTCATATATGTTTTCAGTCATAAATATTGCCATTTTGTGATGTAACTGCTTTAGTTATAACTGTTGTAAGTGATGAAACATTTTGAGAATCATACCCTGGCTTTACGATAAAAAGATAGTCTTGTCATAAAGAACATTTTACAATAAGGAGCCAAAAAAATCTTACCTTCATTTATGATAGAAAAGCTGTGTGGAGATACTCGTACTTTGCTGATGCGCAGAAGGGCATCTACTTGTCTTCTACAAGCTGTCACAAGGTCTAATTGTGCCTCTGCTTACAAGTTACCAATATGTATGAAAAATGTTACTGCCAAGTTGCTTTGGACATTTGTGTAAACAACGAGTTCAAAATCGATACAACAAATTGGCACTGATACAAATACTCAAATTTAAAAGAGCATTCAACACAATATCTGCATCAGTGCTTAAGCGTGAGTATATATAGTCCGGCAATATTAAGTTCATACATATATCACATGAATGTATTGAACAAATGTCTGCACTTAACATGAAATGGACAATATCAATTAACTGTAAAGTTTACTCAACATTCCCAATCTATAGAGAAGTGGAATGACGTTAAAGTACGATATATGTTTTATATATATATATAAAATGATTCCTTTCTTTAATATCCTCCGGTATTTGCATACTGTGTTTCTGTTGTTCGATACACATACAAAAACCAGCGACCCATTAAAATTCTGCAACAACATCAACCATAAACCATTGGAACATTTTGCTTTACCCGTCTCATACAATAAAAATTGACTATTTTGTGCATCGTTTGGTTCCTGTATTAAACTCAGTGATTTTCAGTGAGCTGTACTGGTGAATATTTTAAACAAATCGAATCATCGTGTGTAATTAGTACGCTAACACTAATCTCCCATCAACCTGTGCCAAAACGTGCCCTCAAACTGAAAATAATGTCAATACTCCTTCACTCTGATCCACAGAATTCCATGTGCCATCCTAACCTAACTTAATGTTTATGTGTACAGCTGTGAAATAATTTTATGTTTACACGATTTGTAAATGGGGTTAGGAAGTTATCAGAGTAAAAACCGCAAGAATCGGCTTTTCAAGCATCAGAAGTATAATCCATTTTCATTTCATAATTATAAAATCACAATAATGAAACTCACAAACAGCATAAAAACTATTGAACACACAATGGAATGTGCAGACGTGAATTGAAAGCTGCGCGTAAAGTTGGTGCACATGACAAGGGTAAGAGTAAAAGCCAGGATCCGTGGCAGAGAATAAAAGTGGATTTCACACGGTGATGTGAGGATGACAACAGTAATGTGAATGTTAAACAGAGTGTGTGTGTGTGGGGGGGGGGGGTCTATGTACAAGTTGGGGGAATCCCCTGTGCTCACAGAAGTTTTGTGCTTTCTGTACAAAGTGCTGGTTGTAACAACAGTCTTCAAAGCGTGATTTTCTTTGACAAATACCAAGACTATAGATTTGTTGTATGAAAAGGCAAGAGATAAAGTGTCTTCTGTTTGATATGCTTGTAAGACGTACGGCCACTGAATGAAGTAAACAGCGTGACAAATGCTGTGATGAGACATTGCAAGCCACATATTAAAAAGCAATGCCACTAACAAAACATCCCTCATAGGAACTTTCAAGTACTTTGTGTGCAATCTGGAATTTTCGATATAACGACAGGCTTCTCGCCCGGTTAATACCAAAACATTACGTAAGACTCCCGTATAAATGTCTTTCCAACACTATTTCAAACCTGTCAATTGATAAACAATCTGACTCATGGAAATCTCATTGTTTTTGAGTGATAAACCACACCCTTCCATTGGTAAAGGACTACGAAATGATTTCCTCGCCAGAGCAATCCATATTCTGGCTCCCGGTTGAAGAGAGGCTTGACACATTGCCTGGTAAGTTAAAATCAGGCAATGTTGAGAGCGAGCGAGAGAGAGAGAGAGAGACAGAAACCGAACAAGATGTGTTGATCTCTATGACTCTACCAGAATGTGCCATCGGCAGATTTGCTCTCCTCGCACGTCACGCATGTCATTCCAGTGTGCTACTTCTTCTTCCCCGGAACTGCTGAGTCCCAGAGAGAACCATCCTATCATCTCCTTACGGTTCATGCTCCGCTTGTTGTAAACAGACACCATTAGACTTACGTCGGGGAGCTGGAATAGCGCTACCTGAAACAGTCCAATACTGATATGTGGTATGTGCACTTGTGACACTATACATTTCCTTGTTTAGAACAAATAGAAGTTACTGTAACTATAAAATAATTTATCCTGAAACTTTAACATGTGACTCTCCTTGACGTTCTAATTTTTACATGAATTTGCATATTTTCTTCATATGTTAGTTATTAAATCCTAAACAGATTTCTTTCAACATAAATCCCCTTCCAAATACATCTAGACTTAGTGATCTCTTCCCTTCAAATTTTTAAGACCAAAATTTTGTGTGCATTGCTCATTTCTTGCACGGATGGATACTGCATGCTTCATTCATATTATCTTCCTATAATTTCAGTTTACTTAATTATATTTTTATACTGACAGACTGAATCTTCCACTTGACTAGAAAATGACGGCTTGAAATACGACAGAAGACCTGAAAATGTTTAAGAAATTACAGTTCCACAAAATCTGGTTCCCACCACCCGCAAAACAGACGTACCTGTGCATATACGCGTACATTATATGTAAGCTTTAATAAAAGTAAAGAATTACCTGGAACATAAAAGTCTCCTTGAACAGTGGGTTTGGTTGCCCACGCCGGATAGACGTCTTGCTGCGGGACATCTCCTGGCCACTGCTGCTGAGGAGACACAGCTTGACGTACGTGTCGGGCGGCCGTGTCATCGCTAGATTCCTGTGAATCACGATCACATATAATTTACGAGGCTTGACGTCTTTCAAAGTGATACCACCGATGGATTTGGATTTATGTTGTGGTCACGGAACTTACTGCAGGTAGTCCGATGTTGTCGGTATCTATCACGAACATTATTTTATTAGTAATTATATGTAACAGGACATTGCAAACATTCCTCTTTGAATCCCTTGTGAACTGCAAGACAAGAGATGATGATACAGTGGCCTTTGATTTAGTCGCATATACGTTTATTTTATTTTGTCTAACTCACGACCACTGATAATAACTTTTTATATATGTTATTCTGTAATACTGTAACTTTATTTTTCTACTTTAAAAAGAATGTAGGCTGGCAACAGATTTACCGAAAAAGAAATTGTCAGTTGACGAGATATGGCCTTCTAGTGTGGAGTTTGGGCATAAGATTAAAATCCCTCTGCTATGAAAATTTAATATTTTAAAATTTAAAAAATAGTTATTTGAACTGTGTGGATTATTTTCTATGCCACATTTAACTTCATAAGAATGAGAGAAATATAGTTTTTATATTAAGAAAAATCTTTGCAATCCTATGTTCTATAGCTGCCTATGATAGCTACGAACTGAGCTGTAAATGAAGTACACTTATGGTTTCTTACCTAAAGTGACTACCTTTCACAACCTCAATCGACAGCCGCCCCGTTGTGCCGTTGTACGCTAGGCCTAGAAGCAGCTCAGGCACGCCTCCATGCTGCATGGAATGCGTTGAACCAGTGCTGTCACTACGAGCCAGACTCAGCAGGTCTGAGGCTGATGAGTTTAGCTGTGGCATGGCACAAACACAACATTTGTGTTCAGTCCAACTCAATTGCAGAAGCAACTGATCAGTTGATTCATTGCCATTATGGGATGAAAAGTTCATTACCACAGCAAACAGTTCTTCCAATGGACCTCACACTGGGTGCCACTTCAATCCAATCAACTCATCACAGTGGGCATGTTATTATATTTTCAAATAAGATCCGACATTTAAAGTGGCTTTTTATCTATGAAATTCCTCCTTGTAAATTTTTTTTAATAACGATCGGAGATGCATACTGGCTCCGTCAGAAAATTCATTGCACTGTCGATGAAGGCAGTATGTGCCTCTTAAATGTCAGTCAACTTCTACAAGACTACGTGGCGCAATACCCCAGAAGGATGGCAACTTCATTGCTTTTCTCTGATTTGTTCTAACTGCTACATTTTGATGAGAATATAATATTAAACTGGAGGAGGTTCTGCTGTTGTGGTTTGGGTTGAATCAGCTCAGGGAAAGATTCAATTGCAGATGTATACTAACTGTGAGGTTCACTCTTGGCTCAAGCGTCACCCACATAGTAGTTTCCAGCTCTAGGTTGATGGACGTGAAGCTGACTACGCACTCTCCTATCATCCTCTCACGTCGCATTCGCTCGCAGCCGTAGAGCCGGAACCGCACTCCCATGCTGTTCACATCCTCTGTAATTTCATAAATATGTCAAATTCTTTTGGCGACATTACTTTTGTGTTTCGATCCATGTAACTAATTGCGCGGTCTCTTTGATAAGTTGATATTCACTAAGCCCATCAGGAAATCATCTGTTTTAATAGAATTTCAAGGTTAATTAATATGTAAAAAGTAACCTTCCATTGGACACTATCCAAAACCAGATAAGGTTAGGTTATAGTGATTGAAAATAATCTAATATACGTGAAACTAAATTAGGATTTAGGTTCATACAGTTACTAAGAAAGGAAATCTTTGTTTCCAGACTCGTATGTTTCCGTGTTGCAAATAAAGATACGTATAAATATATTACAAATGAATATGCATGCATTTATATGTTATAATTTGTAGAAGTCAATTAGTTTTATTGTTCCTTGAATATCAGGGCTAATTATTTGTTTTGTATTTCCCAGTTTCATTTAAGTCTCGTTGCCGCATTCTCTGTTTGCCTTTGCGTCTCATTTGACTCACCTGGGTTAACTCTGTGCAGTAAGAAACTCTCCGTGTACTGGGGGTTATTGCCCTGTCTCACCTTAGTCTTGTGTTTCTGTCTCTTGCTGGGCAGCATCACCAGCCGAACCTGCACATTACAACACGGAGGTGCTCAAAGCAATGTGGAGAAATCAGGTTCATAAATCTGTGATCAGAAGTGTAACACGTGAAAAGGTCAAATCCCGCAGATTTCATTGCATGTCGAAGTAAATAACGAAAAGGTCAAATCCCGCATAACCTTAAATCTTGTAGATTTCATTGCATGTCGAAGTAAATAAAACTTTTCACATATTGCATGAAATTATCAAAAGAGAAAGATAAAAATGAAGAGGAAAAATGGTAGAAAGATAAAAGTTTGAGACGAGAAAGAAGCAACAGAATGATAAGAAAATAAGTTCTTCTTGTCTTGTGTTTAATTATCTGTTGTTTTTAAGTAATTGTGTCTCATTGTTTTGTTGTGTCTCATTCTTTTGTTGTGTCTCATTTTTTGTTCTGTCTTATTGTTTTGTTGTGTCTCATTCTTTTGTTGTGTCTCATTCTTTTGTTGTGTCTCATTCTTTTGTTGTGTCTCATTCTTTTGTTGTGTCTCATTTTTTGTTCTGTCTTATTGTTTTGTTGTGTCTCATTCTTTTGTTGTGTCTCATTGTTTTTTGTGTCTCATTGTTTTGTTGTGTCTCATTGTTTTGTTGTGTCTTATTGTAGCACCACTACCACTGGGTAAAAACCCATTTCCAGTTAATAATAAATAATTATAAAATAAAAATTCCACAGTGAAGCCACACGTTACGTTTTATGTTCATGCATTTGAATCAGTGTCCATTTTTTGTGCTACTCAACCGTGCAGATATGAGTAACTTGTTTGCCGTTGATGATGAATGTACCTGTGTGTGTGTCGCACCTCCTCTGTCCCTGGCAGGGATGTCCCTGGCTTGTAGCACTCTAACAGTCATCTTTCTCATTGGCGCATCGTAAGCAAATGCTACCTCTAGATGACCACATTTGGATACCAGATGACTCTCCTGGTCACCAAATGCGCTATGTAAATCTGTGACATCGAACAGTTGTTCCTGTGGCAATACAACGATACACTACACTGAACAGTGGCACCTGCCCTCAGACAATCGAGACAAAAATATTTTTGATTTATGGTAAGGTTTTATTTTACTCTACTTTAAGGTATCAGGTTTCTTGCTGATTTTCAGCAAATGTGACGTGAAATATGTGTTCTTAATTCTTCATAATGTGCAAAATACAGACATTAGCAATAACAATAATAATAATTTGTGGCAAGGCGTAACTAAAGATTTTATTTGTTAATTATCTTGTCATTGACTTCTTTGCCCTGATGACGGAGGCAGCAAGGACCGCTGAAACGTTGGTAAACATCTACCAGACTACACGACACAACAACCCAGAAGACAACCATCTTCGGACTCATCACCGTGAAAACCTCAAATCTTATTTCTTTGCACTTAAATTATTTCCTGTGGGATCAAGTGGATCCTTGCCGTCTTTTCACTGTTTACCTTTTGTTTCCATGGTGATGTTCCTTTATGACATCAGAATTTGTTGGAACTTTGTAACTTTTCAAAATGGGGATTTCAAAACTGCACTCAAAGCACAAGTATAATATTCTTAATTATTTTACTGAAGCATTTTTTTTATTATTATTAGTGTTCTGTCTGACGACAGGTCCATATGAACAGGATCCTTCCATCCTTTTCTCGGACTGGGACCTGTTCATATACGTTCTTGGCAGATGATCCAGAAGGGGTTTGCCATTGCCTTCTTCTGTGTGAGTGTGAATGGAGTAATTGTTGGGATGCCACAGAGAAACCGGGGAAGCCCCCGGAGGAAAACTCCGTGTTGCCTAGACCACCTCATCTTATTATTATTTAGTGTTCTGTCTGACGACAGGTCCATATGAACAGGATCCTTCCATCCTTTTCTCGGACTGGGACCTGTTCATATACGTTCTTGGCAGATGATCCAGAAGTGGTTTGCCATTGCCTTCTTCTGTGTGTGAATGGAGTAATTGTTGGGATGCCACGGAGGAAAACTCCGTGTTGCCTAGACCACGGCCTTGCCCAACACAAGTTATAAATTCGGGCACCGCCGGGAATCGAACCCGAGACCCCAAGGATTACAAGGCCAGTGTTCTAACCGCTAGAATAGCTGAAAGTGGTAGTTTCTACAAAGAGTACATTACTTTTTTATTTTGTAATGGCGGAGTACTACATTTTGGGATAGATTTATGATGACAGACGAAGGTAATTTCCTTGTTATTACACCACTAATGAGAGTAGCTTCAGGTTTACTGATTTGATGATCGTAACTAATGAATTCTATGCATGTATTTGGTGGGACCTACGTCTTGGTTGCTCATGTTGTCGGTGAAATGCTCGGTGGTGGAGTGAGGAGGTTCTTGGACCTCCTCGTCCATGGTGTCCACGCTACACTGGAGCGGCAGCTTGCGGAACGTGGTGCCATTGCTGCCGTGGCTGTCTCTGTGTCGTAGAGCCTTCTCTTTCTGCTGTTCGTCCTCGCCGCTCGTCGTGGAGCAGCTGGAGGACGTACTGCTACTCCCCACTTTACCCTTCTCTGCCAGTGAGATGAGATCCGCGCTCTGTGAGCTCGTGGGGGACTTGTTTGGCTCTGAAATGAGGATAATTATGATATTGGTTGAGGTCAGACACTCGCAGACAAATATTCTGTTCCAGCGATCACTATGTGAGAGTCCTAAGTCCATGTGGCACGTCAGACTCGTGGCCCGACGTGATCTGAGCGAATAAACAAAGCCATATTAGTATTTGTCCAATTTGGACCAGCATTATACGAGGTGCGATCGGAAAGTTTCAAGACTGTGTCAATAGAGGGCGAACCGGATG